ACATATTGAGCCACTTAATTTCGACCAATTTATGCGATATTCTATTGTATTTTCTCAGGCCAAATATTAGCCGAAGACAGGAATTTTTTTCTCAGCAACCATAAGAGTTACAAAGTCGGGTGGCATGTCTTTGAATAGGTTTTTGGGTATGCTCTTTCCGATTTTGCAATTTTTTTTTCAAAATTTCTACCCCTAAAGGGCGCACCCCTAAACTAGGGTGCAAAAAAAATTCTGATTTCGACGAAATTTGGTATCTGGGGTTTTTTTAACATGAAAATCACGAATCTGAAATTAGTTTTTGAAAATTCGAAAAAAAAAGTTCCACTGCAATTTTTGGCGGGACAACGAAAATAGAGATAATGCCACGAAATTTTTTGTGTACATACTAAACGAGTTAAGGAACAAAACTGTCGAACAGTTTTTTAAAATAACTTTTCAAACAAAAGTTATACTCATTTGAATGTTGGTCCTTCGGGTCGCGAAGTGTCCCAAGCCTACTAGTAAGCCATAATTTCGCATGTGTTGGTTGACAATGTCGCAAAAACAAAAGATTAACGGTTTGAGTCGATATTTTGTTATTTGGAATTAATTCGGTCATTAAATGATTAAAAAATTCGATCTATCGATTAAAACACCTACCAAGGTACATAAAAGCGCTGATTTGTCCTTAAAAGGAGCGTGTTCTTTTGGAAGTTATTTTTCAACCTAAGATTATGAAAATTTTTGATCATAGTGAAAAAGTATCATACGGAAAGTGATTTGACTTTTTCCCCTACCTTATTTAGATAATAAATAATCGATCAGCGCTTTAAGATACCTTGGTAGGTGTTTTAATCGATACATCGAATTTTTTAATCATTTAATGACCGAATTAATTCCAAATAACAAAATATCGACTCAAACCGTTAATCTTTTGTTTTTGCGACATTGTCAACCAACACATGCGAAATTATGGCTTACTAGTAGGCTTGGGACACTTCGCGACCCGAAGGACCAACATTCAAATGAGTATAACTTTTGTTTGAAAAGTTATTTTAAAAAACTGTTCGACAGTTTTGTTCCTTAACTCGTTTAGTATGTACACAACAAATTTCGTGGAATTATCTCTATTTTCGTTGTCCCGCCAAGAATTGCAGTGGAACTTTTTTTTTTCGAATTTTCAAAAACTAATTTCAGATTCGTGATTTTCATGTTAAAAAACCCCCAGATACCAAATTTCGTCGAAATCAGAATTTTTTTTGCACCCTAGTTTAGGGGTGCGCCCTTTAGGGGTAGGAATTTTGAAAAAAAAATTGCAAAATCGGAAAGAGCATACCCAAAAACCTATTCAAAGACATGCCACCCGACTTTGTAACTCTTATGGTTGCTGAGAAAAAAATTAAAGAAGAAATGCAGATTTCAACACTCTTTGGGGGGTGGCTCCCAAACGAAACACGTTGGACCCTCGATTTATTTGGAAAAAGTGCTTGTTTTGATGCCCTCTACAACCCGATTTTTTTTTTTCGAACGGTCGTGTAACACCCTGTATGTATGGGTAAGGTATTGTTTTCATCTAAGAAAAAAGCTTGTTACCACGATAACTCAAAATCTACTGGGACAAATTGCGTAAATTTTTGCAGGTGTATTACTTGCTGGTTGGTGAAGACACCTATTAATTTTCAGGCCGATGGGCCCTATACTTCTGCGCATGCGCAGTTGTAATTCTCTCGCATTTCTTAAGAATTAAAAAAAAATGTGGTGTTGTTTGCGTTTTGTCCGTCCGTCCGTCCGGACCCACTTCTACCGTTTTGAATTACTTGTAGGGCAATGGTCCTAGAGTCCTGTAATTTTTTGCAGTTGGTAGCCTGAAAGGGGGGGCCCCCCACGAAATTTCCTGAGATGCTGTTTTGAAAGTAAAACGTCACATTTTACATATGACAACCAATTGGTCTCAAATTTTGCATACGAATGCGTTTAGTGGTGCTAAGTTAAACTTTAGAAAATAGGGGTGGGGTGGGGGGCACATGTTCTACCCTTCCTGGTATTCTAATATTCTAATGAAAGGTCTCAACGAAAGGAACCGTTTTCTACAAACTACTGCCTTTCTTTCTGTCCTCTTATCAAAGAACGGGGGGCTTGGTTTATGCTTCATGGTACTCTAATGAAAGGTATTAACGAAAGGAATTAATTAATTTCTACCAACCATAGCCCTCCTCCTCGACCTCTCATCGTGATCAGGTATATTGCCTTATACCTCAAAAACGGATTGTCGGAAGAGGGTACTCACAAAGGGCGATTGAGACGTCTGCAAGAAATATATCCATTGGTGATGTCAAAACAAAAGCTATTTCGGTTAAAAATGCGCTTTATTGCAGTTCAGCTACATCGGGGTGCCAGCAAGCGACATCATCTCGATAAAAGGTTAGTCACTGGCGATAAGGAACGAAAGCGAATGTGCCGCATTCTTTCCGGGAAATATGAGGTGCTTAGTTCGAGAATGTTCCGTGATTTTTCTAGAAACTTTTAGTTCGCTATATAGCCAAATTGAATTGTGTTTAATGCAAGTTCCAACATCGAGGCCGGATTGATGAGTCGTGGTTTCGCGCTCGTTATAAATCTACATATTATAAATTTGAGTGATAAATACTAATTATTTGTCATAAATCAATAAACTATTTAAAGTTAAAGTTATTTAATTGTAAACAAATCACGTAATTAAATTTACGTTACACTATGTAAAGATGTAAATTTTCAATCTCAACTTTTAAGGGGAAATATGAAATACTTGTGGCAATAATCAACTAATAAAATTAAGTTTTAAATAGGTCGGATAATAAGTGATTTTTTGGAAATTTGTTGACGCTGTATTGGATATAATGTTATTGTGATACTAACATTTTTTCTATGAAATTAATAGTTTATTTTTACATAATTAATAAACCTGGCTACAAAATTATGTGTCTAAGTGTGAGACATACGAGCAACTACTTGAAATACTATATGCAATAGCATAATTAAAAAATAATATTTTTAAATCATAATTTTTAATCAATGGTAAAAGGGATACCGCCCACACCTGTGGAAAATTTTAAGCAACGCATCGACTATAATATGCCCAAAATTCTATTAACACCTTGTACTAATCTTCAACTTCAACCTTCCCCTCATCAATTTAACTCCTGAAGTCAAAACAGGATGAAAAATTAATTAAGCTAAAGGAATTTTCTTAAACTCGCAATTCCTATGAACGAACTTCTACCTCCCTGAGAAAGTATTAGGTACGTAATTATATGACATCCTTAACAAATAAACAAAACTACCTACCACTAAATACGACCTTTGCCTAAACTGATAACTTATTTTTTTATAAAACTTGCTCAATGTCTCATGCGGCCTTGTAAATTCAAATTTATATAAGCAAAAACCCTAATAAATCGACAAGCAAGTAAAACAAAATAATTACCCTACATCAATCATCATATATCCTAATTACTGTTAAATAAAGGAAAATAAAGGATACTTATATTTGCGAATTAAACACATACCACCGAAAAATTATCTACGTTCTGCTGCCTCGTTCAGCGAAAACTTCGCTACCTTCTTTTTCTCGCTTGAGAAGAGTCAAAGCATGCGCACCCACCAGCGAGCCTTCCTGCTTCTGCAGTTTGAATTGCTGCACTTCCCGCGAAAACATTTCCAGTGGCGTGCCACATTGAGAACAATTAAAATTAAAGGCCGGTATTATAAAGCATACTTAGCTATGTTGTCTGCTAGCAATGTTGTTAACAAGATCGTCCAATTACATGCCTTAACAACATTGTTATCGACAACATTAGTTACCTAAGTGTGTTTTCTAATATACCGGCCGATTGTATTCTAATAGGTGCGCATTTAGACTAGATTTGAAATTTGAAATCGCACTAGCTACATTTAAAATCCTTTAGAGCACTGTGGGTAGTCTGATGACTTCGAAAACAGGATTTATTATTGGTTGCATAATCACACTGTTCACAATTTAAGTCCTTGGAACTCGTTTTTATGTCGTTTCCGTTTTTGTTAAACTTACAAATCAAACAGTATGTATAATTTGTTCGCATAAAATAAAATTTCAATATATTTTTAATCTGCAAGCGTTTATTGGTCACTATAAACACTAATTGCAATATTTTAATTCGTAACGAACACAAATTGTACAGAAACGACAGCCATCTTGAAATCGGAAATTGTTTTAACACTCCAGTTAATTTAATCAAATCGTTAAGTTCAGCATCCCTCAATCGTTTTGTTTTAAAACATGTCGCAAATAACCTAAAGTAAACTGGAGTAGAAGTGCAGATATATCAAATTCAGCCAACTCAACGTTCTTAAATTCTTTCAATAAATTCATATATATGAATTTGAAACACTTAAATGTGGTGTTGATACGAGAGATTGCTGAATTTTTCGCATAACCATTTGGAGATTGCATAAGTCGGAGCATTTAACCGAATTTAAGAGTAAATTACCGAACTTCCTAATTTTTTTTTATGATCAGAAGTTAAATGAATTTAAGACCAAAAAAAAACTGTAATATTAAAATGCAGTTTGAATCAATTTAGCGGCGGAGAATAGAGCTATATAACGTACTGGATATTTGGGAGCGTTAAAAAATAGGGAGTTCTTACGCCGCTTATTGAGCAGAACGAATGGTCGAGTAGAGTTTTCACCAACTTTTCTTTCGGCCCGGCACACGACAGTCGTAGTATTATGTCATCGCAAACAGCAAGATTCCCACTTGTTTGTTCCTTCCACCAACATTTTTGCGTGCGCACTAAGTACAAGGACGGACAACACGGCAGGGAAAATCAAAATTATGAGGAGCAATAACAATACAAGGAAATTTTTAAAGGGAGGACAACGTACGTTATTTATGTATGCAACATACCGCCCACCAAATTCACTCTACGGGAATTTAACAAAAAAAATAAAATTAAACAAACATGCAACAAATATTATGAAATTAATTAAGTATATTAACATATTTATTGTGTCGGCAGTGCGCACAATTTAACTAAGGGACGTTTGAAACTACCGCGAGTAGTATGAACGCATGCTACTCTAGCAATTCCATCACTCCCCGGAAACAGTCTTTCGATGCGACCAAGCCGCCACTGTAGAGGGGGCGTGGTATCATCTTTCAGCAAAACTAAGACGCCAATATCAGCCGGTACAAGTTTTTTATCTTTGGCCCAATGACTCTTTTGAAATAAAGTATGCAAATACTCATTGTTCCATCGCGACCAAAACGATTGTTGCAGTTGCTGCAATAATTGCCAACGAGTGAGACGCGAAACCGATAAATGAGATAAATCTGGATCCGGTGGGGCTGATAATGGTTCTAATGTTAAAAAGTGACCCGGGGTTAAGCTACTAAGATCGTTGGGGTCTGTACTGATAGGACAAAGTGGCCTCGAGTTCAAAATGGCTTCTATTTCCGCGATAACAGTATTCATCTCTTCTAACGTAAGGATTTGATTTCCAACAATACGAATTAAATGTTTTTTGACAGACTTAACACCGCTTTCCCAGAGTCCACCGGAATGGGGAGCAGCAGGAGGGTTAAATGACCAAGAGATTGCTTGTGAATCGACCGAGTGTTTCATTAATCGATTAAATTCTCTGTGAGCACCGACGAAATTAGTCCCACAGTCGCTAAATATTTGAACGCACCGTCCTCGGCGTGCAATAAAACGCCTAAGTGCAGCAATAAAAGCGTCGGTAGATAGGGAAGACGCCATTTCTAGATGAATCGCCTTGGTGGCGAAACAAACGAAAAGACAAAGATAAGCTTTGACCACTTTGGTTCCACGGATTCTAGCTGCAGAGATGTTAAAGGGTCCCGCAAAGTCACAACCAACAACACTAAAAGGTTTTATTTTACTTATTCTTAGGGATGGCAAGTTTCCTGTAGGAGGAGAATAAGCGGTGGGATTAACTCGAAAACAACGGTTGCATTTAGCTAAGTAACCACGAATAGAACGTCGGGCCGATAATATCCAAAAATTCTGTTGTATCAAGTACATGGTTGCATTGACACCAGTATGGTGGTTTATTTCATGAACATGGCGAATCAAAAGTTCAGTAAGGCGATGTGAGCGAGGTAACAAAGCGGGGTGTTTTGATTCAAATGGCAACGAGGAATTTTCTAATCGACCACCTACCCGAATAATATGGTCTCCGCCCACCAAAGGGGATAGTTTGGCAAACCATCTAGGTAGTGCTTTATGCGAACGAAGCTTCGTGAAAAGATCCGAAAATAAGTTTTCTTGAACAATTCTAACCATAAATAATAACGCATTGTGGGATTCTTGAGCGGACAGGGAACCTAAGCGCGTATCACGGGGATTCCTCATGTTGTGTACAAAACGTAAGATATAGGCCACAATGCTTTTTATCTTAGGTAACGAAGACACATCCAGTAACACTAAAACAAAGTGCTCTGGATCGACAAGACTGGTAGTATGAGCAACGCATGTAATGACGGACGTTTGTTTCATTTCCAAAGGGGGACAATTATTGATTGGCTCAGAAGGCCACGAATTATGAGATAAATTCAGAAAAGCAGGACCAGACCACCAAAGCGTTTGAGATAATATCTGATTGGGGAGTAAACCGCGCGACGCGTAGTCGGCAGGATTTTTTTGAGAAGGGATATGGCGCCAACATCCAGGAGCCACGCGCTCATGAATATAAGCCACCCTATTGCTAACAAAGACCTTCCATTGCCGCGGTAATGAACGAATCCACGTGAGGACAATGGTTGAGTCCGTCCAGGCAATAACATTATCTATGATAACCAGCTCACTAAAGGATTCTAAAACGAATTTGATTAACTTTGCCAATAACACAGCTCCGCAAAGTTCCAGACGAGGTATTGATAACTGTTTAACAGGAGCAACCTTGGATTTAGAGATTACGAATTTAGTAGTAGCGGTTCCATCTTGAAGCGAAAAACAAAAGTAAACGACAGCGGCATAACCCTTTTCAGAAGCATCACAGAAGCCATGTAATGCACATGAAGAGAAATAACGAGGGAGTAAATTGCGAGGCAATTGTAATGACGAAAGTTCATGAAGTCCCGACTTAAACTGATTCCAAGAGCTAACAATTTCGTGAGGCGGTTCAACATCCCAACCCAGACCTAACAACCATAGTTTCTGAATGAGACATTTAGCAAAAAAACTAACTGGGGTGAGAAACCCAAGGGGATCATAGATCCGCGCGATTTGTGATAAGATTGAACGTTTTGAACAAGGCATGTCACGAGGACTTACAATGAAAGCAAAAGTATCGGAAGACGAATGCCACTGAAGGCCAAGAATTTTAATCGCACTGGAGGGGTCGATATCAAAAGAACGTGCTTGAACCTGCCTGAATTCAACTGGAATAGAATCCAGAACGTCCACGCAGTTGGATGCCCATTTGCGAAGCTCGAAACAGCCTAAGGCAAACAAATCTACGAGTTGAGCGACAAATTTTCTAGCTTCTTCAAGAGATGAAGTTCCGCAAATTAAATCATCTACGTAAAGGCTACTGCGAATGGCATTGACTGCGAGAGGAAACTGATCTGCACCAATATCGGCTAATTCCAAGAGAGTACGGATAGCTAGGTAAGGGGCAGAAGATACACCATAAGTAATGGTGTTCAATTGGTATGTGGCGATTGGATCTTCAGGGGAAAATCTCCAACGAATGAGTTGGTACTTGCGATCCTCAAAACGAATGAGGATTTGGCGGTACATTTGACGAACGTCGCAAGTAAAAACAAAGGGATGCGTTCGAAACTGTAGCAATAATTGCACAATATCCTTTTGCAGCTTAGGACCAACTAGCAAAGTATCATTAAGTGATTGCTGGTTTGAAGCTTTGGCCGAAGCGTCAAACACTACACGTATTTTGGTATTTTCCTCTCCGTGTTTAAAAACACCATGATGAGAGATGTAATAGCAATCATTACCACACGGGTTAGTACTCAATAGTGTCATGTGACCAGCATCTAAATATTCTCGCATAAAGTCTAAATAAAGAGCTTTCAATTGCGGTTGTGAAGCGAGGCGATTCTCTAGGGACCGAAGGCGACGATCTGCAATGCCCATCGAACCGTCAAAAGTGGGATTAGCAACCTTGAAAGGAAGTGCAACACCAAAACGGCCCGAGACGTCTCGAAACAATGATTTTCTGAAAAAGGATTCAGCGAATTCCTCTTCGGCATTGACTAGTGGTTTGGAATGAATTTCTTCGATGTCCCAAAATTGTTCGACAATTTGCTCTAGCGGCGGTTCTGAGACCGAAAGCAACGATTGGACGACCTGTTGAGGATGGCCAAGTTTAACTGGGCCTAAAATTACTTGACCGAATACAGTACCTAATAAGAAGGGATAATCTCGTGTGCGGGGAGCGCTATCTACACTGGTACGGGTTATAAATGGGTAAACATCAGCACCTAAAAGAAGTTGAACGGGACGAGATTGATACCACAAACTATCGGCTAATCTAATTCCACGAGGAAGGCAAATGTCCGAATTGAGCGATTGATTAGGTAAATTGCCACAAATTTTGTCTAAAAGAAAGAATTCAAATTCGAAGGTTGGGGACATGGAGTCAATTGGACGAATTTCCGAAGTGACTGTCGACGAAGAATTCATAGCGATATTTCCCAGACCGGAAATGGGAATGGCATTTGCTTGCTTAGGTAATTTAAGTCTATTTACTAAACAAGTGGTTATGTATGAAGTTTGACTTCCTGTATCTAATAGGGCTCTTGCGGTATGATAATTTCCAAAACAATCTCTAATTTTTAAGACAATTGTACCCAGAAGTACCGGGGGCCGAGTCGAATAAGATGTCGAACAACTACTGGCGCAAGATGTTACCTGGTCAGAGCTTTGCGGCGAAGAGGTAGCGGTTTGAGCGATTGGACTAGAAAGGCGCGGTGGAAAGTGTAACAAACTGTGATGTCGAGAGCTGCAAGATCGACAGTTCCTTTCCGACGAGCATTTGGAAACAGCGTGTCCAGGTGACAAACAATTAATACAAACGCGATTGTTCTTGGCAATTTCAAAACGCTCATGGGGTTGCTTGTCTTTGAAAACAGGACAAGCAAACAAGGCATGTGACTGCGCACATAAAATGCACGCATGACGAGAGTTCGAAGCGGTAGTGACCAGTGTGGTTTTTGCAAAAGGTTGCCTGAAATTACCACTAGACGAAGTCGAAGGGGATTTATTAAATTTGCCGACCTGTGGGACAACTTTGCTATATGAGGCGGATTTATCAAACGAGGCGGGTTTTTCCGAAGAAAGCGGTGCAACTAATGCTTCTAGCGATAAGCAATGCTCATTTAATAAATGTTCAATCTCTGAAAATGTAGGAATTTTCTTCTTATCCAATTTAATTTCGATTTCCTTACGGGTAGAGGGATCTAGTTTACTAACAACAATGTTAAATAATACAAAGTCCCAAGTATCAACTAAATTTAACAGCTTGAGAGCCTCACAATTTTCGCGGATTTTATTTAACAGGCTTCTTAAACAAGTGGCGGATTCAGAAGTCATCGCAGGAATGTTCTGAATTTCATTCCAGTATAAAGTGGCGAGTAACCGTTCATTATTGTAACGATCTAACAACGTATCAAACGCAATACGGTAATTATCGGCGCAAATTGGAATTGCTTTAACGATATCTAAAGGTTCGCCCGATAAACAACCTACTAAGAAATGGTACTTCTCAATATTACCGTAGGGTTTTTCCTCTACCAGTTTAATAAAAAGATCTCTAAAATGCGGCCAATCACGAATATTTCCACCAAATTTAGGCAGTGATATTCGTTGCAGGTGATCTACAAAAGGTCTCGAAAAGAAGGACTCATTATTTAACTGCATTGAGTGCGGGTTCGTCGATGTAGGAAATAATTGTTCGTAAGCGACCTCAATTTGAATGAATTTGGATAAAAATTGCGAACCGATTTCATTTTCGAGTTCTAATTGATCCGGTTTATCAGCGACTAAAGCGATAATTTCCAATTGATTGGCGTCAAATGTTTCTTTGCACGATGGTACTTGTTTATACCAGGTAGCGAAAATGAGTTTAGATGATGGATCAGCTAGAGCAGTTTTTGATAAATTAAAAATAACCTGTAACGTATTTACCGAAACATTACGGAATGCCTGAAATTGTTTAAGTTTAGTAGCCATAGTATGAAAAATAATCAACGACGCGAAAAAACTAATCAAAAAGTTGGCTTATTGTAATTAAAAGAAATGCAACATTCACAATCGAATACTTGTGAAGCGTACAAAATATGTTTCTGGAGCTTGTGATAGGTTAAGAGATAAACAGTGAATGTATTAAACTTGTACGTGCCTAATATTTTATAGCAAAAGAATCGATTATTCGATTCAATAACAATTGATAAAGTGCGTTGCAACAACAAAACGACTAAATGGAATCGCAAGAAGCGCACTCGAACATGGGCAAATTTTGATAGCGACTATATTTATTTCTTTCACGCAAAAAAATTAGGAAGCGTCTTTATCATGGACACAAAATCCGGCTCGAAGGACCAGCAATGGAGAGTAAATTTTTGCGTGCGCACTAAGTACAAGGACGGACAACACGGCAGGGAAAATCAAAATTATGAGGAGTAATAACAATACAAGGAAATTTTTAAAGGGAGGACAACGTACGTTATTTATGTATGCAACATACCAGAAATACCGAGTCGTAGGTATATATTGTACATATCTAATGCTAAATCACCGAAGGATCTACGATATTCCGTTACCGAAATCTCGATCGATTTATGAAAGGTCCTGTTTGTCTGAATATGAAAACGAAAATCATAAATTATGGAAATTATAGCTTTCAGCTTGCTGAATAATCGATACAGAAATAACTATAACACGAATTTAACTCTGAAAACCTCCAAACTCTGTGGTATTTAAGTTGGCGAGTTCTCGATCGATTTATGAAAGAATACAAGGAAATTCGTAAATTATCAAGGGCTTTCAGCTTTTAGAGTAAACGATGCAGGAATAGCAAGATATGCTACGGGGGTTCTTTCTGGACTTGAAAATTACCATCGGTTCCGCCCGGCAAGGCAAACCGTCTTTTTCTCAGGCTGCTCAATCAATGAAAATAAATGCTCCGGCTAACTCAAATCGGTGGGCTTTTAACTCTTTTGAAACTGCGTAACAAACCTTAACCTGCCGCCTACCAGTCTCCTGCCTCAACTCCTACTCCTCTCTTTCCTTCCCCTCGTTCTTCGTTAAAGACATAGGCACATTGAAACCAAATAGATATTATATTGAAATGATATTAGAGATACAAACAAATTACAGGGATCTAGCAGTTCTTCTCTCCTCCTTGTAAAAACACTAGCTTAACAATGACAACTAAACTAAATAAAAAATCCTACCAGGTGAGACTAATTTACTCAAGGGGTGGCCATCCTCTACAGTTTGAAAATTCCAACAACAGGTAATCGGTTTTTTACTCCAGCGTGGGCTGGGACTTATTTAAATAAACACAAAAATTTATCCTACTCTTTGGTAATCGTTCATTGGACTTTAATAAACAATCAAATCAAAATTTTTTACTATAGCTTCATTACCAAAAAGTGGAATTTTACAGAACGTTACAAATTTAATTAGACTAACCTTTACAACATTTGTACAGCCGATCTTGTGAACTGCTCTTTCCTCTGGTACAGGGTGGATGTGATGAAACCTGACACTTAGGTCTCTGTGACTTCCTAGGGGGTGAAATTCCACCTGGGGCGGATCCCGAAATTCTGCGCCTTGAGGAATAGGGCAGCACTTTGAATTATATATCCTCGAGAAATCACAACGTATCCTAACGCGATTCACTGCATCCAAAGTAAACTGGGGTGAAGCTCAAGGGTTCGCCAAAATATCACCTGATCGGAACCTGGGTCTTCGTCGCCAAAAAATCAACGCGAAAAAAAATAACACTTCGCAACGGGTGCAAAAGGCACGCAACTGCGAGCAACCGAAATAAGCCGGTGGTTCAAACCGCTAAGTGTACCAAAACGATCGCTCAAGGTACGTGTTGACCGCTTGACGTACTAACCGCGAGTCTCTTCAAAACGCGATCACTCAAAGTACGTGTTGACCCCTCGACGTACTAAACGCGAGTCTTTTTCAAAACGCGATCACTCAAAGTACGTGTTGACCCATCGACGACTAAACGCGAGTCTCTCTAAAACGCGATCTCCAGGTACGTGTTGACCCCTCGACGTACTAAACGCGAGTCTCTCCAAAAACGATCCCCTTCTTCAGAATTGAACTGAGAAAACCACACCCAAATTACCATAAAACAAAAATGGCTCCCGCTAGAAATTCTCCCATTGGTTTAGATAAAGAAGACTTAACCCACTCTAACTTCGTCGTCAACCTCCAGGAACTGCTGAATAAACTGATCTCACGGTTTTCTGCTGACGAATTTAAAACCCCTTATCTCTTGATGGCTCGGTGCTATATCCGCTCCTATTCTCGGTCTAGACGGCGCCTTGGGTGATAAACGAACGACAAAAACTTGCATTACTCATGATGACGTCAATCAACTTTGCACTCTTCCCACGACGAAATTAAATCTGAGCGAAATTAAATCTATCGGACCATAGTCTTGAGCGAACCGAAATGCCCAAACACAAATTTTCTAACCGGAACAAATAATGAAATATACAGGGTGACCTTCACTATCATGACAAGAAATTTTGAAATTTTTTAATGAAATTTGGCCCGAAATAAAACCACTCGTTACAGATAGTACGAATATAATGCCAAAAACCCGAAAGTTCTACGATATTCCGTTGCCGAGATCTTGATCGATTTACAAAAATTCCGACCAGCCGACAGTTAGTGAAACTATATACACCTAAGCTTCTTTTTGAGAATAAAAAATGCGCAAAGAGAATTTTAGTTGCAATAAGCAGCTATAGTCAAAACGGTACCTACGTACCTACATTCCCATTTGCCGCCAAAAATTGAAAGAAAAAGAAAAGGTAGGTACTTACGTTACACCCGAGAAGTTCGATGCGCATCGTCTTTCGAGTACTTAGCTAAAAGAAATAGATAAATGTATGACTTTCGAGGCAATATTTTGATTAGCTAAGCTGAGCCGCAGCAATTAAAAATTACACATTACCTAAACCATTGATTATACTGTAGTACATAATCAATGGCTAAACGCAAACCTGAGCAGGGAATCGTAAACAAAATCATAATTAAGTGTTACAGTAGATACTTGAAGTAAAAGCAAATAGAAATTAATTACGGTGGAGAAATTAACTATCGGTTGTTAATCATGTGAAATTGTTAAACGTGCAAGTAAAAAAGGGAAGATGGCGCATTCTTGTGGCAGATGTAGAATACCAAACGGAAACGAAGCAAGTACGGGAAATAGCTCGTCACCATTTTAGAATGATTCAGGACATCTTATCTAATTTCTTTTATTAACGACGATTTACGAAAACTGTAGATAACTCCGTTACACAGCAGCGACTGACATAAAACTAAAAGTAAACAATGCTAAAAGTAAACGCTCCAGCAATAAACGCCTTGAATGAAAGGACGGGATTTATGGACGGGATTACATTAGGAAAACAATTTTGAAGACAAAACTTATTTTCAGTGAAGGCGTAGATATCAAATAAGAAGCACAAGAACTTAGCACATAAGCATTTGTATATTCCACTAATTGCAGGTACAGGATCTACAGACATTATTAGAAAACAACGCTTCCGAAACGTGCCATTCGAAGAGCAAAGCATGAAATGAACGGTGGTGCTTATAATTCAGAAGGGGTGTCTCTATATAAATAAAAATGTATGTGAATGAGGTGAGGCGGCGCAGCTAAAAATGAATTTACTCCATATATTATAGACCGCTCTGTATACGATTCGCCTATTATATCGTTGCAACGATTTGCGATACATGAATTACTTGTTTTGGCTAATGTTGGCCTATTAAAGAAACTCAGTAGGCCTCTCTCTATAAGCAAATCGTATAGACAATGGTTAGCTCGCGTACCTACCTAGGTAGGTATGTATAAACTGAATAATAATTTATTTATTGTAACACGTCCTAGAAATGATGTTCGTTTACTTACCCTTTTACTACTTTTAGATCCACAAAGAGCTATAAGAGTTGCAGCGATATACCAATAGAAACTCCACACAGCCTTACTCACACCTTCACATAACATTTTTAAATACTTAGTGGTTGTTGTTCGTATTTGGACTGTTCAAAACAAATTAACTAATATTTTCTTTAATGAGCATTGTATAATTGGGTATACTTAAGTATAGGTACGATTTCTAAGGTTTAAGATCAAGGACATTTTTCTTTCTTAGTTTTTATATTTTTTTCGTTTTTAAATCGATATGGTCGATATGTGACAATAGGGGAGGACTTAGTGAAATGTTTAATATAAACTGTAAAGAACTGTGCATAAGTATGGAAAGGTCTGCGTGTATTAGATAATAAGATAACCAATTAATTTTGGCCAGATTACATCTAGAAAGACCTTGCAATCAGTACATCAACACAATGAACAACGCATAAATTACAAAGAATGTGAAGACGTCGAGTTGGAGTTTAATTATTCCAAGATAATTAATAGTACTCGTAGTAGTATCCTACTAATGAACGCAATTATTCATTTCTTTATAGCTCTAATATTCTTAAATAATATATGCCTTAACTGACCATGCCGCCCTCAAAAGACATCGGATTCAGCATCCAAATTTACCCTAAGGATCGAATGTGTAAAAGTGGCCATATGTACGACTTTTATGGGGCCCCTTCACGTGTACTACCGGAACGACGTGGCATCTGGCGCGTTGTGCAGTGTATCTACACGTTTGCGCCATTTCATTCATTCCATGGTGTGGTACTGTCGACAACAAGATGAGCTTAGTAAAAAGAAGACAAATTGCAGCTGTATTTCTTCACAAATATATGATGAATAATGTAAATGAAAAGCCGAAGAGGAAGAGATCCAAGCCATCGTATTTGAAAAGACAGCAATTCGGCAATTTGATTTTATTACAAGAAATTAGTAATATCAATCTAGAGGATTACCACAATTAGTGCCACACCGCACAGCACAAACAAACAAACCTACAAAAGGTTTGCTAATGTAGTCTATACTTTTTCCACTCCAATGTTTAAAAGCGCATCCTCTTCTAGCGGCGCGAAGGGAAAGCGCGAAACGAAACTACACGCTCGCATTTAGCGCGCGGAGGGTCTCGCGCCACGCCAGGAATTCAAGCATTCCTTCCGGGTGATGGCCTAAAACTTTTTTTAACGCGCAACGCGAGTACTCTCACGGCTTCATGCCTAATGCCTCACGGCTATCTCCGAAGGACCTCATTCCGATCGCTTTAGTTATTTGAAACTACGCCCATTGCGATTCGCATCTCTTTCACTAACAGGATTTATTTTTAGCAGCCAATAAAATCGACAGAAACTGACCCGATTTCCCACAGACTCGGCAAAAATAAAGCGCTCCGCAACACCTTGATCACTAGCGGATCTGCGCTCATGAGGATTCTTGTTAATTTTGTCGCGACTTTCCGATGCTTCCAACTTTGGCACGCAGTTAAATTGCCAGGGCTGTGCTCAGATACTATTCGGCTAAATCGGAACGGCAGAATCAATATTCACACTTGATTATGCGTTATGCGTTTTGAAGTGTGTGAGGACCTAGGTGAGGACATATTAATTACAGATACTTGTTTTGGTACTGTACAAATACATTTAATTTGTGAAATCTATACGTTTTCATAGCCGTGATTACAAGATTAGTTCGCCATGTGTATGTACGATCATCGACAAAAGTAATGATAATCGGAAGCTTACTGTCACTTAGGCAACCAACTATACTATATCTAAATTTTTGCGAATTCAAAACATCAAAATCCACCTACACCGCCAATGCGCACATCTTACTAATTTTGTTGAATTCTTATTTATTATCTTGCTAACCCTTTCTGCCGGTTACAGTTGTTATGGCAGGCCACCTCGATCTCTGGTTCGACAGATGACGCGATACGATCCCGTGTACGGTGGTGGGAGAGGCTACTTGATAGAATCTACCCTCTTAAACGGATGGGTACAATTTCGCAGGTCTTTGAAAACGAACGGCGGAATTCCCGAAACGTGCCTGGACGTCGGTACAAAGACAGAGAGTGATCCAAATACGTGCGGTATGCGGCCTCAGCTCTCCTCAGGGTAGTTAATCTGTGCCTCAGGTCAAGGATATCAATGAATAACGACCATTAAAGTAGGTACATGAATATACCTACGTGTCATCCTACGTGTTGTTTTGGAGTGCGTAAATAGAGACACCACTTGATCAATTGGCGATACGTTACCCATGCGTTTACCTTTAAATACAACGCAGTCACTTTACAAGAATGTTATTTTAGCAACTTTTAAACAATGTTAGTCTGTATATGAATTAAAGATTTGTCTTGAATTAGATTTGCACATGGTGCAGTTTGATGTTCATACAGGTTAATTGTAAAATGTAGCGTCACTTTTGCATTTACCTTCAGCGAGTACACTTCTTGTCAAAGTCAATTTTGGTGCAAATTTTGTGCTAAATGTAACGAAAGGTAATGTACTTAGTTTTAAATGTAATTCCTCAATATGTGTGTTATTTGCGTTTCAAATTCCCGATAGTGGGTCAGCTTGGGTACGAGTGAGTGCCACCTGGTGTTTTACAACGTAAGGAATCCGGCCATTGTTGAGTGCGAGGTTCGCGTTACTACGCTGCTATTCCGAGTTCGTGTTTGTCCCGGTTTTTGTTAGTGCGGAAGATTTTGACTTGGGTACATCACCCTCATGGTACCATGCGGTCTAAATTAAACCCAAATCAAAAATCGAAAAAATTTAACTAGAGTTAATCAAATAAACTGCTCTAGTGGGTTCCCGTTACAGGCTAACTTAACTAATTTTTCCGGTGAAAAGTTACAGGAGCATTTAGTCTCTTCTGAAACTGAAACAAATGGAATATAATGGTAACTTGTACTCAGGATTCTTACTAATTACATCAGGCAAATTTTCACAACTACAAAATGTACGTGCTGCTATGGCTAAAAAGTGTATTCTTTAATAATATGTAATGAAAACTAGGAATTACCATTTAAAAAATATGACTCCCTTGGCCATTGCACAAGTACGCTACTGACCACAAATTTAAAGCACGTAAAATGGTAGCAAACTGTTCATAATGTTAGATACCTACTATAAAAAGCTCCTTAAAAAATGTCGTTTTAAAGATAGATTCAGTGGTACAAACAAACCACAAAATTTCCATCCTAGATAATGTTAGGAAATTGTGAAATTGAAATAGGAGTAGGTAACTATTATGAAAGTAAATTAATTTATTTAAATGTACTAGTGCATCATATATACACAAAAATTGCTCTCTCTAGGCATAAAATGCGAATTAAAAAAATGTTTTCTTCATAAGAGTAATTTGCTAATAAAAAGTATTGTCTAAGCAATTAAGTATTTAGATAATCGTTAACAAATCAGTGCACAAAAACTATTTACAGCATATCAGATTTCATAAGTGGGAGGAGTCAGCGAATTTAAGGAATGTCTTGAGCAAACTGTAAATGATTTGTCATTATCGTTTTATAAACTGTAATAGCACAAAAGGAACTTCCGGTTGTAGGTATAAATGACCATTTCGTTTTATCCAAAGAATAACGAGCAATCTGTTCACTTTTGAAACCTGTCGCTGATTTTCTGGATTAGTCTCAAAGTTGCAGAGTTTTTGTAGAAATTTATGTCAAAAATACATCGCGCTTATTATCTGCAACGATGAAATTATAAAATAAGTTAGGTGAGATTAAACCAACAATTTCTGCTTAATTTCACCTGTTATTTTGTTGTTCAAATTACTACTCTTACAAAACCTATAGTTTTCAAATGCCTTTGCCGCCATTGCGCTTGCATTTTTACATTTTGGCAAATTCATTAGGAAAATGAAGTTTATTATCATCTATAATGGAAGCAACAGGGTATAATAATACTGGTTAACAATAACAAACTTCAAAATCGCTAATGTCTCAATAATGAAAGTAAAATTTAAGTACACTTCAGCTGATTTATCTATTTTTGAGGCGCTTCTACTATTATATTTCGAAAAATATTGATTTCATTTCTTATTAATCAATGAACAATAACAATCCTAACACAATTACCCACACATTCACCGTTAAAATCGTTTTTAAATTGACAACCATATAATTATTATATACGAATATAAAATTCTATTAATATTTAGCTTAATTAATCATATAATTAATACCTTGTATACTTAGACAGAAAATGCATAAAAATTTCGTAGCAACTAAAGTTCCTAAATCATGAGCATTGGTTTCTTTGGGACTCGTCGTCCGACTCTTCATTTTCGTTTAGTAGGGGACTCGCGTCGTGTATTTTAGTTTTGCTACCCCTTTGACTCTTTGAATGTTTTTTGGCTATCGGAAAACTGGGCACAAAACTCCCGCACGGCGTGTTCGGAGCGGAACGTGACAACCAACCCTTACTAGCTTTACCGAACACGCCCACTGTCTTACTGCTCGGTGAAACTTTACTTAGGTAATTGTAACTGGGCCCTTCACTTAAAGGCATGTAGAGCGTTTTAGACTTATTGCGGCTAAAACAACTTTTCGTTTTCACTTCGTGGCCATCGTTCGATGTATCGGAGTTAGGTGTGGGGCTCTTATTCTGAGGCAACTGCTGAATTTTGTCTAACAACTCGCGCAGCTCGCCCGTTGGACTGGTTGCTCTCGGAGGCGAGTCCGGCGTACCCAGATTTGCAAGACTGCTGATATCCGAACTAGTAATGCTGTTTACGACGCTATACTGTTGTATATCGTGAGAATGTGAGCTACTGGTCGTTACCGTACCTAAGGGTAAATGAGTTATTGTACTAGGAATGCACACAGATAAGTTTAGTAAATCGGAAAAATTATGATCTTCTTCTTGACTTTCGCAATCTATACTTGCGTATTCGTGTGAGGAGACTATGCGGTTCGTTTTCTTTGCGCTTTTATGTGCTACATTTAAAGGAGGAGAATAATCACAGTTAGTTTGATTTGTTTTTCTTGCAAACTCTTCGGGAGGTTTCGTTAGTAAAGTTTGCTGTGTGGTCTTCGCGTCGTGCATATAACAAGGATTACTCGTAATCGACACTTCTCTACTACAATTATGCAAATTTAGATTTGATGTGTTGGTATATTTATTGTTCATATTAGCCGAAGGCTGAGGCGCGGATACGTTTCCGGGCTGCGAGCATCCGCTAGGACTATGTTGAGCTAAGTGAAAGTCGTTACACGTCGCTGACGATATCGAACGAGGAAACTCTGAACTGGGCCTTGTTGGTATACTGTTGTTCACTTCCTCTAAACTCGCAGCCGAAGAGTATGGTGGCGGAATGATCGTGTTCGCCTAAAAGTACTCTAATTAACTCCTTTTCCCTTAAAATTTAAAGATATTTACTTCATTTGTGGCGTTGCAAATAAAGATAGATCCCAATGAATCCATTGTGCTCGTAGCGGATAAAGTTCCTGAAACATGCTATATTAATATGTCTTCCATTCACTGAAGCTACTTACCTACGGGTCTGACTATGTAATTTCTAAAATACTGAACCATTAGGTAACCCGTTGAGCCTCTTCCCAGTTTTTGATTGGACTCCATATTGTAACCGTTATAACTGAGTACTAACGGATATAGATCTGGTTTTGATGTTACCTGAGAACAATGAATAATTTCAAATCTTTTTCAAGGCATTTTGGCTCTTAAAATTACTGCAGTACCATATACCATGAGTAGGTACCATTAATTTAGTCGTTGTATGTAACAATACCAAAACGCGCTCCGCCATACACACTTATCCCGCAAAAAGTCGTCAGATGTTCCAGCGCGAAGCTATTGTTAAAATTTACGCGAAGGGACATTTTCGAATCACAGAAGCGTCTTGCAATTAAAAGCGGGAATACATAAATTGACATTAAAACTCATTGTGATAAACGAAGTTTTTTCGGATCGCTAACAGTAGGTAACGACTGGTTAAATGCAAGTTTCTCAGTTTTGTGCATAATCACAATTTCAAGTATTACATTCGCGAAATTTAAACCGGTTTACTTGGATTCGCGATTCATACGAACTTTTCTTCTGATAAACTTTGCGTTCATAACGAGGATAACGTGTCCGGCGCCGGTCGATGCAGAAAGTCAACTGTACCATCGAAGCGACCCGTGTCCATATTTTTAATGGAAGCGGCATTTTCCAAGGGAAGGGATCATTGCTACGAGAAGAGAACATTACCCACCTCAATTACTGTTTTACAATTTATTGATTTCTAGAAAGTAATGGTCGCGTATTTTTAGGAATTTGCACAAGTAATTTTGTTTGAAGCAATTTTAATATTCCTAAAGGAACCGACCTGCGAAACTTATTTGCACGAAACAAAGTTTGTATTGTATTTGTTGAAAAGAACCGAATCCAAATCAAGGATTTTCGTTATTTTGTTTCATTAGTTGGAAAATTTAATGTCAGTGATACCATTCCTTCGGTTGGATTAAAATTTTGTTTAGCATTAAGAAGTGTATATATTTTGAATGTACAAATAATTTATTATGTGGTAAACATGAATTCAATCAAATTTACCATGGACCCGTGAGTATGAGATAGGCATTGCATTCTTTTGTACTTCTTTTATAAGCCAAACTTCCGCAAGGTAAGACGAATAAAAAAACATTTTCATTAATGAGCCAGTGCCAGTGCAGTCAATTTCATTTAATGTAAGTGAGATCTTCAACCCTTGTAAATGTAACTAAACCAAACCCTTTACAATTTTTGTCGCCCCGCTAAAGGGCGCAAATTATAGACAAAAATAGAGTTTTTGATTACAATATTCTATCTATTACGCGAGCGTGTTTACGGAAATAGGCAGCGATATTAATTAATTAGGTCATACCAGTAGCGTTAACAAGCGCTTGGAAAGGTTTCAATAATTGATTTTTTTGTTGAAAGTTAGGATTATAATTTATTATTACCAGTGGTGGCGTTAAAATTTTTTTATAAAGAAGGGGCCCAACATTTTTTATTTTTCCCAAATCTTTGAGGTTTAGGAGGATACTAAGGTAGGTAGATTTTTATTATTGTATATGAGACTACGATAAAGATTAAGAAGGATACGAGAAAATTAATTCAAGAAAGAAATAATACACAAGGAATTCCTTAAGTTCAAATAAACAAGATAATGTCCCAAGAAATTTAAGACATTTCTGGAAGCTACGAAAGGAATTAAGAGTATATCAAAGACCCGAGAAGAAATAAAGGAAAGTCGTTTAGAAATTCAAGCAGGGCAAATAATCAAAATTGCAACTAGACTGGAAGACCAAGACAACTTGATACTACAGATGCAAGAGAAGCATGGGGATTAGAGCGAGTTGTGGGAGAAATCGAAGAGGGGGCCAAGAATAATAAAGAAAATTAACCAGCACGATATAGATATTTCAGATTTGAGGAATAAATGGGATAGAAATAAGTAAGTAATAGCAAAACCACACAAGATATTATAAGATTATTGATGTGTGGGAGTGGAATACAATATCTGCATACGAATTGCAATGGAAGAAATAGTAGCAATTCCATCATCTCGCTGCGTACTGTGAAACTTTGGCAGTTCATAACTTCAAAAGGGATGAGTTGCAAACAAGTAATTCACTCTGTGATGTATCAGAAACGTCAAACTTAATGGGCAGGTTATCTACAAAAAAAAAACGTTATTTTGCGTTACTTAGTATGGGCAAAATAACGTTTTCTACAGATAATCTGCATGTTAGTGATACATCACAAATGAATTATGCAGTTATGTGATTCAAATACTTACTAAGTGTTTTAAAAACGGATACGCTGTCATTTAACAATCTAAAATTAACATGTGCAGGAATTTCACGTACAGGGAGATCAATAATATATGCTGCACCGCTCTTATAAAATATCACATTAGTAATCATTTGCCGCAACCAGGTATATGTGTACCAATACAAAACATAACCTATAATTTTACAAACCAAAACCATGATTTGTGATTCTTATTCGAATACTTTCGTCCCTTTCAAAACGGCTTTTTTCAAGACTACCAGTTTCTTTCGAATATTTACAAGGTGGGTAAATTACTTGTAAATTACAAACAAACGTTTTTTTAGTTGTAGCGTGTAATAGGCAATAGGTTTACTCTGACAAGCCTTTTACTTTAGAAGAGAATAAGATGCGTTCGCTGTCCTGTTTCCGTAATGGAACTAAAGACGAAAGTGGAGTTTGGGAGTACTCGATACGTTTGTGTATACAGGAGTTTCGATAAACGATTGTCAACCATGACGAGGATTACAACAATATACGCCGAAATGCTCATCGTCTACTTGAGCGGTTTAACATACAGGAAGTCTTGCTTCTGGGAAGTCACCTGGCCGCTTAGTGATTGCTAATAAGGAGGTTGTAAAAGATGTTCTTGCTCGTCTTGAGCAAAGTCGGAAAAAGCAGCTGCGACAATTTGTCCCACTAACGGACATCTCATACGGAACGTGTGACGCGATTGCCTGGAGAAAATTGTACTTCTATCCTTTAAAGTAACCGTGTTACAAGAACTCATCGTCCAGACTTGCAAAGCCGTCTAAATTATTGCATGCAAATTTACGAGATGGCAACGTATTCGAAATCGTTTACACACCATTGCCGAATTCCGAGCAGGTATAGAAGCTACCGTTTGAAACATTACGCAACAGCACTTACATGCCGGCTTCGAAAACATGAAGAAAAGAGTGAATCCCTGTCTTAATAATGGTGGCGAGCACTTCGAACAGTTGTTATAGTGTGTATGTAATTTACCCAATTACTTCGATATTAACGAGTTGTAAAAGAAATAAAATCGTTTCAATTTTTGTAGTAATTCGTTATTCGTGTAGTTCCACATAATTTGGAAACTTACAAGATCGTTGATTTAGGTTAAATATGGTTAAACGTCAAAAGTTTACTTTAAGGTTATGTTTTAGTATTGGTGCACCAGGCCTGTTGCGGCAAATGATTACTAACGTCATCATTTATTGAAGCGGCGCAGCAACTCAATATTGATCGCACTGTATAATGCCCATTAAATTTTATCCCCTCCAACTTTATTTGTAAGTAAATATGGTAAGTATCTGGTTGGCCATCTAAAAGTCGCTTGGAATTCCCCCAATCTTTCGATGAACGTAATGAAGGAACACGCTACAATGGTGGTCCTTATTGAAATATGGCTTCGAAATTTAAATATTTCAAAAAGTGTCAATAAAATCGTGATTGTATACAATAGTATATTGAAAGACAAGTGTTACAATGCGACCTATTGTAATACGACTATCTTGTGGCACGAGTGGCGACGCGAAGCGTAGCCACGAGTGTCCGCAAGATAGAAGTATTACAATAAAGCATTGTAACACGCGTTTTTCATACTATTTTTTCTATTTCGGTGCTTTAATTTAATTTAAAAAATCATAATCAGAAGCTATAGGGAACATTAGAACTAACATGTTTTATGTTGGGAACACTTTTTATGCCGTTAAGTTTTAGGTTGGCAGCGTAGTAAGACCATATATATAAGAGAAGTATATATATGAGTAAGACTGACATTTTGAAGTTCAAACATAGAAGTATTGTACCTACTTGTACTAACTAGTAACTGCCAACTTAAGAGATGCAGATGAGTTACCAAAAAAAAAACGACTATAATCACTGTCTTTGTACAACTGTTTTCGGCCGAAAACAGTTGTACAAAATCATCATTGTGACACCGAAATAGAAAAACCCCTTTTTAAAACACACTTGATTCGGTCATGGAAAAGTATTTGCCGTTCTACCAATTTACGAAACTTCTTTCAAGTCTCGTGAATTTATTGCTTACAGTTACATTTAAAAATAGAACTTTTAAGTTTAAGTTCGAAAATCGAAGTACATGTATAGCTCAAAATGACATGAAGTAAAATAAAGTAAATACCTCAGAATACGGCGGAGGGGCTTGATGGAAGCTATTGCATCTGCTGTAGTGCGGCGGTGCATAACACGATCCATTGGAATCAGGTTCGGAAGCTCTATCGTCTCGTCCAGAGTTACCGCAGCATAAGCCTCTTTGACTGTGCCTTCTCCATAACGAGCACGCGCATAAAATTCCGGCAACCGTTGCTGTTACTGCGGCCCAAAAATACCTACAAAATCGATAATTTTAATACGCTTCTAATGCAATATGCAATATAATTACCAATGACCAAGAAAAAGGGGGTTAAGCATGCTTGTGGTAGGCAAAGTTGGTGGTCGGTAGGATACGGACGGTGCAAGTAAATAACAACAGCCCTGCTTGCAACATTCTTTAGGTGGGGAACAATAATGACCCCCATCACAATTCCTCAATGGCACCTGCTACATTAGTTTAATTACAACGATAATATCGGCACCCTTTTATCTTACTGTTACAGACGCCATCATAAGCACGGATGTTGCTCTGACGCTACCAAAATAGCGTAAGCGTCTGGAAACATTTCGCAGATCGATTATCAGTTTTACGCGGAAAGGTTCACGTAAATGATAATTTAATTAATTTCGGAAGGCGATTCTGAAATGTCTATTTTCTGTACTCGTTTTATGACGTAAATTGTACCTTTTATCTACAATCTATCCATTAAGGTTAGTGGAACGAGTAAAGGGTTAAATGAAATAAGAACGTTGACAAGGAAACCGGCACGCGCGAGGTCAGGGAAAGTCCAGGCGCCACAGCTTCAACTCCTTGGCGCCGCTTTTCTTGGCGTCTGGATGTTTCTGGGGACACATATGACTTCTTCTCTGCAGCGGCACCCACCTTTCTGTAACAAAGGTACGTTATTAGGCTCAATCTGCATATTTAGAGGCACGCATCAGGCCCACTATCGATTTGTGGAAAATAAATATGAGACAATTTGATCAAAACAAAGTAAGTGGAATAGTTCGTTGATTCATAATTACAAAATCGATGCAACGTTTTCTTATCCGTCGGTAAATTGAGTTCGTTAGATTTCTAATAATGGCATTATTGACGTGTTTTTGGCTTATTAGAGATACAGCAACTATTTTTTCTACGTTACGACTGCGTATCGGATTATTATAAAGGTCCTGTGGGAACAGGACACATTTTTAGCTCAAAAATACATTTTGCAGACGCTATCGTTAGTATAATAAATCGTATCTATTTACTACATCAAACGTGAAGGTGTCGCTTTCTCATGTGCGAAAATGAGAAGTATTGAATTTAAAATTGTTAAATATATGTGCAGATATTTAAGGTACTTAGTGCCCACTGACAAATACCGTTCTGTATATATGTCATGTAATTTCCACTCTAAAACAAAATTATTACCATAGAATTGTGCTTTAGTAAAAGAGATACCTAGATATAATTCAGCGTTATTCATCAAGTCATCAAGTTATAGGTCCAGATATGCTATAACTACGCCGGCACATGCACATTTTATTTGGAGACGCTTTTTTCACCAAGTTTCGAATCATCTGGAGAGCAAAATAGTAGTCTGCGGTCATAAACAAAATGAGTGAATAGAAAATTTATCCCGGGAAGATGCACAAGCTGAAGATAAAGCAAAAGTATATTGAAGGACAAGTATTACAATAAAGCATTGTAACACGTGTTTTTCATACTATTTTTTCTATTTCGGGGCTTTAATTTAATTAAAAAGTAATTATGAAAAACTACAGGAAACTTTAGAATTAATATGTCTTAAGTTGGCAACACCTTTTACGTTGACGTTGACTGCCAACCTATAGATGAAAAGTTACCAAAAACATGCCAAAAACAGTATTATAATGGACCTCTTTGTGATACTGTTTTTGCCGAAAACAGTTGTACAAAAAAGCCATTGTAAACACCGAAATAGAAAAAATATATTCCATGGAAAAGGGGAAATGCAGAAGCGTATTTAATAGGTCTACCGTCTAAATGTGGCCGATATTGCCTGAGCCAGATATACCTACTTGTGTATGGATGATCGATGTATAGTAACACTAACAATAAATAACGGAAGCGCGCTTTGAAGTTTAAGTTGTTAGAATTTCATATATGGACAATACTGTATATGTACCGTTTCATACTGATAGTAGGCGTGAGTCGGTTTAAAGGCGATAAGCGAGCGTATTTAGAACGCGTGGGTTGTTAACAATATAGCCGCGAAACTTTTTTGGTTCTGTGGTTTCCTTGTGCCAAAACGAAAACACAACGTATATATGATTAGCTGAGAAGAGACGCAGTCCCGAGATTTTGCGTTGGGCCCGGTTTGGGTTTTCTACTCGGCAGTTATAAATACCATAGAAAGGGGATAGATAGATGCAGGCATCAATCGCAATAGCCTGCTGATCTGCTCGGGTTACGATTAATAAAATTAGATCGCGCGGTTAGTGTAAAAATATTTGTAAATGTGTCGAGTATTACTTGCATAGGATACGAAGATTTCGACGAAACGGAAGAATCTAAGCAGACACTTTCTCTAAACCATGTAAAGTTAGTGAAATCCTCGCTGTAGTTAGAAAAGTTTTAATAAAGTTAATCGTGACCGTGCAGTTCTGACCGCAAAAAAAGTAAAGGTATTTGTTGCATTATTAAAAGATAAAAACATTAATGTGGCAAATGAGCCAAACGTTGTTTTTAATTATGTTAGTGAACTGAACTTGAACTATCCCTTATACCCTTATAACGGGTGACAGCAATTTCAACAGTTTTATTTATTGTTCAACGTAGGGAAATATACACCGCTTCATGCGAAAAATGAATCTAAGTAGGTATAGCGATAAAACGCATGTAGTTCAGAAAAGTGTCCGGGGTTTATCTTTTGCAATTAAGCGGCGGATGTATTAGGGGAAAGTGTGCGTTTTTATCGCGATGTCTTTGGTCCTCAAAACCGCGTCGGTTCCATTTGAAACCGGTTGAAAAAGTCAAAATGTGAGTTTTCTATTGGTTAGTAGAGCACGCTAATATTGAGGTTGTTGCGTTCAGAAAATCGGTGCCGAATCGGTTTTTCTAGCGGGCGAAATACACAAATGGCTGACGAAGTGGGAAAGCCGGCATTCCTAGCCTACTTTGGAAGTGACATTTATATACGCCAGAAACTATAAATAAAGGTTTGGATTCAACGGCATATGGTAAAAGATTTTAAAGACAATTAATCTGTGCATTTACTTGCAGAAAAAACAAAAACAAAAATGTATTCACTAATTGCGCTGGTGGTACATAAAAATGGCCATCTGCTATAAATTTTACGCTGTTCTTGGTTTGCTCTCTTCAATTATTTACAATTTCGTCGTGAAAACGGCAATACATGAACTTAATTTTTTTAATTCAAAGTGAAATGGTCTGAGAGGATTGGGTTTTCCGTAATTGAGATGTGGAAGTGTAATTTTCGACGACTTATGGGCTTTAGTGCTCAAGATATGTTTACCCATAAAGAAACATTTTGGAGTCAAGCGCCCTACTTAATCCTAGAGACGCATTTGATGGCAACCCTACAGGAAACGCAAAAGGGGGTGGAAAAATCAAATATGTTAACTTTCCCCTGTAGCGGTATGTCAACAGGTACGGTAAATGTCCTTTCGGGTATCCCACCGTGCGTGTTGGACGCTACATCAAAGAGTTTGTATCCGGCGCTAAAAAATGAGACATGACAGTATAGCAAGTTAAAAGACTGTTTACAACATGTCAACCATCAAAAGTTACAAATTTCGACAAAATCGTGAATATGGTGCTAGAAGAAGAGGAATCAGAAGGTGCCTTTTAAAATGATCGTAGTGGCACCTAACGGTGGGTATCCGTATGGACCCAAAAATTTCTATGCACTACGGCCGGAAATCTTATACGGTGCCGAGGTATGGAGTGCTCGCAGTAACGACTCCAGAGTTAGGGAAATATTGGACTCGGTTCAGCGCCCATTTTACTCGGAATCACGAGAGGGTATAGTACTACTGTACTTGGAATCAAAGCAAATCTATGAGACTTATGTCGCTGTGGCGGGTTACCGAATCGAGAAAGCGCCGTTACCGGCTCAAACAGTCCACCCGAAGGATAGAGATTTACTACGGACACTACACTCTGAAACAAACACGCTGCGAGTACGGGGCTAAAACATCAATATCGGCAAGGGCGCTATGGCTCTCATGTCCCCCACAGGTGAAAGTGTGGATCTCCCGCAACATGCTACAATCCACCAGGCGCTTTCCTGTGCGCTAAATAACAAACAAGATGTTACCATTATAATCGACTCAAAAAGTTCTGTAAGCGCAATTGCGGCATATAAAGCACATACGGCACAAAAAACGCCTGGTGGACTTGCACAACGCAGGTATCTCAGTAACACTAGTCTGGGAAGGGAAAGGGACCGGGCCTGGAGGAAGCAACCTCGTAGACACCTCGGCCCGAAAGGGAAATAGTACAGGACATGGCCCATTTGCACACTATTTTATTCGGTTTAAGCTTAAAGTAATCTTGTGCACAAATTTCAGAAGATTTTAAAGTTCTATCCTTGAAAATACATCAAATTTCTTATTCTAGCCTTGTAATTTTAACACATATCCATCAGTTGTAGTTTTATTAATTCCCGTCTGTCAGCAAAGAAATTCATTATTCAATTGAGTTGCATTGGTTAATCACAAATCAATGATTCAGGGTCTAACACACCTGTGTCGCGTACCGTCTGTATGTATCAAACTTTCAGCTGTACTTAAACAGTTCAGTTGGAATAATTCTGCTAGAAGCGCAACGTAAAGTTGGAATAATGGAGTAGGGAACGTATTTAGGTGGTAAATAAGAAGTAGGTTAATGGTAATAACACTAGCCGATTCCCGCCTCCACTAACAAACCATCTTTGGTGTTTTTCCTCCTCGGGGTCGACTCGACCTCGTATAAAATGAGTAATAATAGGCGGCCGAGGAGCGTAATGCTTGCCACACTACATCTCTAGAAATGTTTTCAGTTATGGCCGGCCTTACCCTTTATTATGAGTATTTAGACGGTACTAATTTGTATGTATAGATTCGCTTTAGCGGAATCCCTTTAAATTCAAAAAACTTATATCTATTAGTTATTACACATATGTTTCCCCTTGCGTGTTATTATTATCAAATCTATGCGCAACGCACTGTTTACCAAATGATGGCAGCATACAAATCTGGTCATATTAAGATGGTACGAACCTGTACGTTTCATCATCTTATACATTAAGAATCCTATAACAAATCTACGGATTGATCGATGGTGACCAATCGCAGTATCCGTTCTAACGTTAATAATTTCATATATATGTGTTGCCCTTTCACTTTGATTCACGTAGCTGTCATCGCTAAACGCAATTTATACCGAAATATCCAAATCCTCCCCGTCCATCTCCCACCAGAAAAAGTGTAAACATAAATATCAATACGTTTGGG